CACAATAAAATTTTTAAATACGATAACGGAAATCATAAAACTAATATATAATATAATAATTTAAATAGTGCATCTTTATGACATGATTTACACAGAACACATAAAACAGAAGCAAATTAAATATGTACAAATGTACAGTACAGTGATAAGCAACAAAAAGAAATGTGCTTACAAGTTGTCATACCGGTCAAAAGAAGTTTACTGCATTTTACTTCAGTTTTTATGATTTTTTTTCAGACTGGTGTAGAAAAAGGTTGCCAAAGAATGCAATGGGCAGTACTTGGCTGGAATAAGCCTGCAATTAAACTCTACGAGTCTCTCAATTCTACAGACCTAACAGCCACTGAAGACTGGCATATGATTACATTATTTAAAGAACAGTTTTTACAATTTGCTAATAACTGAAATAAGAAAATGTATAAATAATTTGCTGTCATAGCTAATAAAGTTGAAAACATTACTGTAAAATTCAGTACCTGAGTAGAGAAAGAATGTTTATGTCAAAATATCCGTGTGCCATTTCACGTTTACACCACCTGCTTATAAAATGGAATAATCCATCACTTCACTTGTGTAACCACACTCTGGTGTAACCATGGAGGAAAGACGAAGACACAGGCCTACTTCGAGCGACGAGCGAATGCTAGTTCGAGCGGATCGGATGCGTTTAGTGTTGACTATAACAAGGCCGAATTCAAAGGTTTTGGTACTTATAATATAATATTCCATGTTTTGAATAACAGTCTTGGAAAATCCGACCACCAGATAGATGGCTGCTAACAAGTACTGGTATCAATTATTAAATTGCGCACTTCATTCTGAATCATACGGTTTCAATGTGTTGCAGCTGACTTTTTTTAGTATTAAAAAAACAAATTATGATGTTTCAGTTGTATTGTAATTGTTGCTGTATTTGAATATGTAAATGGGTAATTATCACCATAAAAAATGCAACTTATATTGACAAATATCTAGGTGTGAATGCCCTAACATTATTGGTGTAGTGAGGGAGGTGACTACATAAGTCCCCTTAGGGGTGTCACCTGAATAGGGGTACCCCTAGGCCTACCCTTATTCATGGAACCCTAACCAAAAACCTGAAATTGTCCCCTTAATAGGTTTTTTTGGCATGTTTCCGTACAATATGACATGGAATCTGTATAATTTTATTTTATTTGGCCTAAGAATGAGTTTCAGTTGAATCATAACTAATTTATAACACTAATTTGCAATGCAAAAACAATTCATTTATGATATGAAATCAACAGAAATGTAATTAAGACAACAAAAGTTGTATGTAATTGATTATTGTCATTGTTTCATGATTCAAGTGCAATGTTAATGACCAAATATTATTTTTTTAAATATTAAGCTTTCTATTGAATGTGTATAAGATAGAATAGCATGGATCATTGATTACCGTCTCTGCAGACTGTACGGTGTACATTAGATCCTATATGAAAATACACTATAACAAGAAGTCCTCATGGTTAATGGTCAAAATTGACAAGATTGTGTTTGTACAGTACAGACATATGCACTAAGCCTATATCAATGGACATTCTAGATACTGAGAGGAAAGAATTCTGTTAAATGTTAAGTTTACTCATAAGGTGTCAAAATAAAAATTTGTATGTATTTTTCTGATTTTGTGAATACTCTAGTTGCTTCGATACAACAAAAAATAAGTGGTTATTGGTTAAAATGTATTGATTTCCCCATTAAGCACACTAACAAAAAGTGTCCCCTTCCCCTTAATATGGGTGTCGGTGGTGGATCTAGGGGTGAATAGGGTGGCTAACCATCCCCCTTCGGTGACCTCGGAAAAAAAATATGGTCGCTCGTCTTGTGTGTGTGCTTCTCATGGGCATGCTACATGTTGTAGGCTACTCTCGTAAACTATACACTTCCATTTTAAACTTAACTTCTTTTCAGATGTCATCAAGAGCGACTAGCCGTCTACTTATTCCCAAAAATCTCAAACGGAAGGGGATGGATACCTCTCCAAAAACCCATGATCAAGGGGGGACACGTCCCAAAATATTGGGGGTTGGTTCCACACTTTTCGTCCGCAATGTAATAATTTCATAAGTCAAGAAGATGCCTGAAATTGTTGAAATGAACTCCATAAATGACCCAGGTTTTAACGAAAGTGTGCTGTACAACCGGTACTATCTCTGCCCACAAACATTTGAATTACTTATATTACACCACTCGAGTGTGCGTGCCTTTATTATAATTTGAGAAGTATGAGAAAAAAGCGTGTAATAATAATAATAATAATAATAGTAAGATTGGTTTTCGGCACACGGTAATATACAGTATACAGTATATATACAAACACACCGTTATACGACATATAGCATTACCACAAGATGTTTTGTGTGTTTCTTCGAATTTTTCACACAATACAATTTCTAAGTACAATAACGAAAGTATGTATGTATACATGTAGTATGTAGTATGATTTATATAGAACACATAAAAGGCGCATTATGTACAAATGTACATTGATAAGCAGCAACAGAAAGATAAGTGCTATTACAATTTGCTAATAACTAAATAAGAAATGTAGTCTCCCTCGTCATTATACCTGTAATTGTATTTTTCACTGTAATCAATGTTGACTCTGTTTGCCATTATTTATGATATACTGTCATAGGTAATAAAATTGAAAACTTTATACCTGTAGTAAAAATACATAGGCCTACTTGATTAATGTCAAAATACTGCGTGTTATTTAACGTTTCCACCTGCTTATAAAATGGAATAAGCCGCATGGTAGGTCAGGTCACCGTCATATCATCCATGATCACTTTTTTTGTTTTGTTTTTGTTGGTCAACAAGAAAGCACGCGGATCGTCGGCGTTTGTAAAATAAAGTTTCATCTTACAAATTTCGTTATGCCGACAAATGACAATCCTGAATTACAAAGGTACACTATAGTATATATATATATATTTATTGATATGATTACATTTGTTACGTCTAAGTATAGCGCTAGGCTTAGCTAGCTTGCTTGGCCCGGGCCTAGGTAGTTTGTTAGTTGGTTGACGACAACCTACCTTGCTGGCTGAGTTCGAGTCGAGTATGCACTGGCCTAGTGCCCGCTTCCTAGGCTACGAGTTGTATCCTAAGCCTGTTGCAGTTGACTTACTAAGTTGAAAGGGAAACAATTCTTAAGTTTGGCCTAAAAAAAGAAGAAGGCTTACTTTTTCTTAGATTTATTAGGGTTAATTATTTTTAAGGTTAGGGTAAAGCCAATTCAACCAATCAGCGCGTTGGGATTTGCATAATTTGACGTCGACATTTAGGCCTAGACATTGCGAAAAAGAAAACTACTACAGTAATTAGTAATACTAATACTAGCTAAAGTAGGCCTAGACCTAGCGACCTAACTATATTATTAATACTGGTAACAAACAGTAAACACTGCAGGTCAATATAAAAGCAAATGCCAGTTCGAGTCCTTTAATTTGTGTTAATTGAATTTCTTATTGAAAAATTTAAATTGTTTTCTGTTGTTTTATTAATTGTTGAGACTTACTCACCATCATAGTTGCCATTGAGGGGAGCATGTTCACCCGGTCAGTGACCCTTAGAGAACCCTTTGTTGGAGTTTCTCTGGCACCTCCATTGGTACGGATAAGAATATGCAGAGAAATGGATCTGTGCATGTCTGCCATGTTAAAGGCATGGTCAAATATAACACCTAATATATGAATTTAATTAAAGAATTTATAAATATTTTCAATAAATTAACTTGCGTTAAAGGTGACAGACTAGATGGAAACACAATGGAGTGCAATTGCACTAGTGTATAACCCACTGAAGGCAGGAAGCATTGATGGAACAGATGAGCGCCCTCATGACAGAGCTGTAGAAAGAGCTTTGAAAGTATGTATACAGTATTTTGCATACCCCGATGAGGCCAAATTTTAATCATTATTTTGGGATTTTTTACAGAGGGGGATGCCCTTTTCCTCGGTACTAAGACATTTCGCTGAATGCCAGTTTGTTGACAGATTGACTGTTGGAAAATTTGTCTGTCAGCAAATTGGCTGTTGGCGAAACATCTTGTCGGCAAACTGGCATTTGGGAAATGTGTTGTCGACAAAATCTTGTCGGCGAAGGGTATTTCGGTTGATAGTCTGTAGGCCAAATGTCTGTCAGTGAATCGTCCGGCCACGCTTTCCCTCACACAAAAGTAGGGTATGTATTGGAATAAATGCCCCCTCTATAGCCCTATTTGGAATAAATGCTTCCCTCAAATAGAACAAATAAGTGACTGTAAACCAATGGAAGCAACATCATTCTCAACACATTCCATTAATGTTCTACTTCAGTAGAATTACAATTTTTCTAACTGGTTGTGATCAATTAGTCTATGATCATGCAGTAACCCATTTTGACGGTAATTATGTGCTCCACATAGTGAAATTAAGGGGAATTCGAGTATACATGATGTATACATTTTACACCTCCCTTGCATAAATGCCCTGCTCAAAAACCCTTCTCGGCAATAAATATGGTTATCTGTTCAGAAACATTATAAGGGTGTTTAGATTAATTGCAGACTTATTTTCAAGTGATTTACCCTAGGGCAAGACCAAATATAAATATTTATTATAATGTATTATAATAGTTATTGCTTTGAATATTTCCAACTGTATTTTAATGGATTTCTCAGGGGTTTTTTAAAAATTTATAAACTGCGATATATCACATGGTAAACAAAGAAAACTTTCATCACTAATATGAAAGATGATAAACACAAAGTTTCTGTTTAATTTGAAGGCCAGATATAATCCAGACAAGAGTCTCAAAAGCTCCCCAGAATCTTCCGTCTTTATTACGAGATTAAATTTGAACACAACAGAAGAAACTCTGCAAGAGGTTTGTATATAAAATTAAGTATATTCAATTCAAATTGCATCATTATAGGACATCTCATACACAAAATGAATCTCTTGATTTGGAAATAAAAATTCAGGTTTATTATTTAAATAGATCACAATAGCTTTAACTTGGTCTTTGAATGACCTACCTGGTGTAGATTTATAAAAATCGTCCTCAGAGTAAACTATTGTAACAAAAAAAAAGTCAAATGAAACCGACCTATTTTTGCTGACTGTCCAAAATAGTATTTTTTTTATGATACTGGCAACTAATTTTCTCTGCATTTCTTTATCAAGGCTTTCAGCAGATATGGTGAAATTAGGAACCTGCGGCTTGTACGTGATATTGTAACTGGATTTTCAAAGTGCTATGCTTTCATTGAATACAGTGATAGTAGAGATGCGTATCGTGCAATTGATGAAGCAAACCACATGTATATAGATGGCCATGAAATTTATGTTGATAACGAGATAGAAAGGACGTTGGAAGGATGGATACCAAGGCGTTTAGGTTTGTGCTGTCATATTTTAGATTACGGCAATATAGATAACTTCCCTTGGTGTGCGAACCTAGTGCAGTTCTTCAGTGCCTTAGTGTTGATTTAACCTTGGGCCCAAAAATGTCTTACTAGAAACGTCTATTCCGTATTACTAGACAAGATTTCATTAAAATTGAACATTAAAATCACAGTCAGTTTATACTGTTTTTCTTTCAGGGGGTGGATTTGGTGGTAAAAAAGAATCTGGCCAGCTGCGATTTGGTGGAAACGATCGCCCTTTTAAGAAACCAATTATACTTAGTCAAAAGTATGATACACAAGACAAAGAACAAAACTACAGGCATACTGATAGATATAGTGACCAAAGGAGGGATAGGGACAGAGAAAGACGGAGGTCCAGGGACAGAGAAAGACGGAGGTCCAGGGACAGAGAAAGACACAGATCCAGGGACAGAGAAAGATGCAGATCCAGGGACAGAGAAAGACGCAGATCCAGGGACAGAGAAAGACGCAGATCCAGATCTCGAGAAAAACATAGGGATAGAGACAGGGACAGTGATAAATACAGAGAAAGGGACAGAGATAACGACATGTCAAAAGAAAGAAATAGCAGTGACAAAGAGTAAAAGAATAGCACAGAAAAACTGGCAATGGACAATTAAATAAATGGAATGAAATAAGTAGTGAGTGTGGCAATATTTCTATCCACAAGAATCAGAAGCACTGTAAAAACTGTTTGATAAAGATACGAGTTTTTATTTAAAAATTTACAGACATTGCTGTTTACTTGTACAGTACATACAGAGCAAAAATGTGGGGTGTGGCATGTGTGCTGGAGACATCAGTTTAGTGTGACAATAATGTTTTACTAATATGTGTTAAAATATTTCTTCTTTTGCTGTATTTTTATTCTATTGAGCTAATGAATTTCCATTTTTGGACATTAACGATTTCTATGTTTATGTAACAGATGCCAGTAAACTTGAAGTCAGCAGTTGTTAAATAACCTTACCCCTTGCATTGTACTCTGGTTGCCTTAAATGAGGGGAAAATAAATTAAGAATTGCTTATTTTGCAGTTGTCTTTTTATTCATCAGCAATCATAGCTCCACGATTTAATTTACTGCATAGTAAACATTTTTGTTACCATCAAGGCACAATAACCTTGCGCCAAAGTCCTCCACACAGGCACGACCTGCTCCACCTCTGTTCCCATGCTATCATTGTTGATAATTTTGTAGGTGACTTTAGTAGAGATATACAGGAACACCTGGTAAAAATTACAGTTTAAAAATGATAATATGCATTGTTGAGTAACACTACAATAGACTATTATGCAGTCAGTTCTGAGCATTACTATAACTCAACAATTTACACAAATCTGCTGGGAACCACAATATAGTAATAATAGTATAGATTTGTATAGAGCACCGGTATCCATCAAACAAGATGCTTATGGCGCTGGATATATGTATGGACTAGTAGCTTGATCAATGACTTTTGCACCCCTAGGGGTCCCTTCATATCTGTACTACCCGGTGCCAGAAACTCTCGTCATTCACCACAGGGGCTGTCTGTACCAGTACACTGGGGTATCCCCCTACTCATCTTGAATGATATACTGGGTTCTTTATAGTGCATACGAGCCATTGTGTACACTGGGCTCGCAGTTTATAGTGTATACGCCACTAAAAATACTAAATATTAAGACATCATTATGCCTAAAAGTTTTCATTGTGTGAACAGAGCTTAAAAACAAATACCACATTTCCTTTGAAAATAAACTGTTGTATGGCCATACATATTCATGAGGTGCCTATATATATGATCATATGATGTCATCATGACCATATTTAGGCATATCTTTTTCTTTCAAGTAAAATTTGATAATTTGGACAGGGCTTAAGAAAAACCAGCTAAAACTCTGTTCACATTATCAACTGTCTCTTATACACATCTTTTAAAAATGATAATATGCATTGTTGAGTAACACTACAATAGACTATTATGCAGTCCATGATGTGATGTCATCATGACCATATTTAGGCATGTCACATGTTTTTGTTAAATAAAATTTGATAGTTTGGAAAGGGATTTAGGAACAATGTTTTGCCCATGTTAGCAATAATCAGTGTACTATACCTTGTACATCGCTTCAGTTCCTCAGGGGGTGACACCCCAAGATGGAGTCTCCGTACAACATCATGTTTCTGGTGAGTTTTATCGGTCAGTGACCTAGTGTTTACTTCCGCTGGATGACCTGGGCTGAATGTTGCTACTGTGATCATGTGACCAGGTGGATTGTCGAACTGGAAGGTCATGGCCTGTCGACTATGTATGTGAAGCTTGCCAATAATTCCTAGAAAAAGGGTGTGTGAACACTTGATGCATCGGCAAGGAAGTACAATACATAAATCAGATAAAAGCGTTTTGGGATAAAAAAGGTCAAGGTAATTTTTTTGGTTCTATTTCTTTATTATTCAGTAATGTAATCAGGCACAGGGCAGAGGTATGTGCCCTATGGAGAGACACCAATCTAGTTTACATTGTAATTGATAAAGTGGTTGTATTTTATTTCTATGATGATTGTCCAAAAATTCAAACAGTCAAATATACATTGTTGTACAGTACCTTCAGTAACTGGTTGATACTCCATACTGCGAATTAGTATCTGGCTTGGAAGAAGTATGCACTCATCTATGATATGGAATAAGCATTGCTATTGATCAGTTTCATGAAAGCATGATTTCATTAAATTCTCATCTGATAGAATGGTCTGACCCAGAGTAATAGTCCCTGAAAGGGTACTATCCTGGGTTATGGAAAATATAATGCAAAAACTTCATTACAAATAAATCATTAATAAATTAAAAAGAAAAGCTACACACTTTTGTGCACTAGTTGCAAATCATATTTGGTCTAGATGGACAGGACCTTTCAACATTGAAGTTTGTCCATTAATGGAAGAAAAAGAAGTTGACGATAAAGCAGTATTGAAGGAAATCTACACCATTTGAGGAAGAAAACATCCCCTTACCAACAATGGAATCTTCTAGTTTGACATGCACATTGTCATCATTGCTGCTAACCCATATACTGGTCAGGAGCTTGTACAGCAATGAGAGGCCATCCAGTCCAGCAGAGGTAACAGTGAAGACAGGTAGGCTGAGGGGTTCCTTCTCACCAAACACTTTAATGATTACAAGGAGCTGCCTTAACATCGACAATGTACTGGCATCGTACAAAATGCTAACCTACATAATCAAAATGTTGAATTAACTTTATTTTTTTTACATTTTTTTTATATATTTAGGATGATCAATAGTACATTTATCGCTGTCCTACTTGTAGGTGAAAATCCCTTTCACAAGACAAACATATACACATGATGCTTTACACAAACTAAATCTCAATGTGAGATTTAGGGAGTGGGGTTGTTTTTGGTCATCTGACACTGACAGGATTTGAACCCAGGACCCTGGGATTTGAAGATAAGCATCTTAACCACCAAACTATTCATCTCCACTCCAATTTTAACTTCAAGAAACTGAAATAATATTTATTCTATAATGTTGCAAACATATAACATTTAACACCATTATAGGAATCATAAATATTACCAAAACTTGTCTCTTCAACTGGCTACAAGCATGGTGCTCTCAGGGTTTCGCTTCATGTCCCCAGCCACAGAAGGGGCTCCTGCTACATTTAAGAGTGCAGGATATGGGTAATATAACAATGTTACAGGCAGTTTGTAGAACATCCCAACAGATATATCCCTCATTGATATACATATGATATCAGAGTTATTTACAACTATCTCTATTAAGGAACTTGTTTTAAAAATTCAAGCAGCATATATACCCCTGGTTTTGTGGTCATTTGACCTTGAACTGGTACAGTAGCCAGAACATAGAGGGCGTACTCTGCAACCCATTGAGTAAGCTGCTGTGTAGACTTCAACAGTTTCTTGTCTACTGTGATATCTTTACTGTCTATTTTCTGTAAGATGCTTGAAATATCTGCATCAGCACTTGCACACGCAGCTTAAACAAAAAATGAAAAACCAAATTTATATAAAAAACAATAAGAATAAAATAAATTATCCAGCCAATATTTAATAATTTAATACATTACTGTGTTTAAAAAATAGTTAATTTGATCTCTCAACTACTTTAGGTATTAAATCCCTTCTCTTAGAGGGTTAGTAAGGGAATTGAGAATGTTTTACCTGCAATTCTATCAGTAGGTGTGTTCTCTGGATTATTGGCAGATATTAGTAATGTTTTGAACTCTGTTGCTATGGCATTCAATAATAGCTTAGAATGGCAGTCCACTGCTTTGCCTCTTCCACTTGAAGAAAGTCTGAAACAGTTTGAGCAAATACAGTGGTAATTAGTAAATATGATCAACACAAGATAGTGTTCTCCGCGATTTTCCACATACAAATTCTGTAATAACGAAGTGTACGGCGCCCTCTTGCAAAAGTGAAAACTTTTGAACTTTGTCTGCTTTGACCATAGCGTACATCGTGCGACTTTTATGTTTACGCATAACAATTAGAAGTGTTAGGTTTACAATGCGCCCTCTCTTTAGAACAATTAAGGAACAATTAACGTACTTGGTAACAAACTTTGGCGTAATGCAAACACCATATCTCAGATCCATGGCAACGACTAGAACGCCCTCTCCCAAAAGTGATTACTTTTCTGTGCCAAATCGACGCTTCTATTTGTTACGCGTAAATTGCGGAGAATGCCATCTTGTGTTTATAAGATCTTTGATAAGATTCAATCACACTGACATGCTAAAAAAATCAATCGACCATGTTACGTTTTTCAAAAAATGGAGGAGTAAGAATTGCATCGCAGTTTAGTAAAACTAATAAGTTTTCAACCAATCAGATTAAGTGTATCATGATCAAACCTGTGTAGTGTAGCTTTCATAGCTAAAAGTCTGTTGAAGAGCAGAGCCTGGCGTGCTGCATTCTGACGATTGTAAGCCTCTGTCAGTCTGTCAATTACAGTCTCTACCATACCTACAAGAAATTAAAATATTATACACCAAAAACAAGTAATTGTTCTGTAATGCAAATACACATTAATAGAATATACTACAGTAGAATCCCTCGTTTGGGTCACCGATAAATATACTTACCTATTGTGATAGTGAGAAGAAGATCCCACCAATCATGTCCAGTTACTAAGCAATATTCTAATAAGTTCACAACCTGTGCAATGGTATGAGCCCGGGTAGCACCTGCAGTTTAAATAAATTTTAAAAAGTGGAGGTTAGCATGGATACATGTTGCCCAGGAGCAGATAGGTGGTTCTACTATTTTTTAGGGTGTTGTAGATAAATTAACAATGGCAATCTTGGGTTTTTCTTGTAAAGCCTGGTCTCCATAAAATCGCCAACTCCTTTGGTCATGCTGATTGGTCAGTTGAATCAGAGAGCGTTCCCAATTGCGTTGGGGACTGTTATGCATGAAAATGCTGCTGTGACTATGTAGCGGTTTTCCTGGAAACCAGGCTTAAATACAAAAAAGACTATCATATTAGTGATAATCTTATAGCAATGTACACGTTTAGTAGTTCATATGCATAAAATTATGTTTTTCGCTTCAGTGTTAAAAATATGATCAAATCAAATATCTTGTGATTAGACCTCTTGTACCTGAATCAACAATTTGTCCAATTGTCGGAGCAACTTTGAGCAGAGAGAGGGTGCCGCCCTTATCAACTCCAACCATGCTACAGCACGTACTTGACATGGTGAGACTGACAATGTAATGACCACCCATTGCTCTTTGTCTTTTAGCTGCAAAAAAAAAAAAAAAAAAACAACTGCAAAAATGTTTAAATATTTAATTAATGATTATGTAAGTTTTACAATTTTTTTAACAGAAAGTTTTTGGATATCAGTTAATTTCTTCTCTACTGTAATAATATTCACTAAAAATATTTACCTTGTGGACTGGAAATAATCTTAGCACCTTCATATTTTAAGGCTTTCAACGGCTTCATGGAATTACTGCCACAAAAAGAAAACACTGAAGTTTGTACATACATTAAAAAGTACATCGAAGACAAAAATTCAAATGATCAGTTAAGCTGCTTTTATAGTATGAAAAATGGCAAGTTATTCTTTGAGACAAGAGCAAATCCGGGGAGGGGATGGAGCCTATACCCTACTCACTCCCCCAAGAGAAGACAAAAGAAAGGTGAAAGAGGGGAGAGAGAAAAGAAAATTGTATTGAAAGCGTAACTGCATAACTCTATAAAAGTTGTAATTTGCGTATTCTTACTGATTTCAATTTACAATTGACTACCCCACATTCATTCACTTTTTTTTCCAACATTTTCCATATTATAAAATACATAAATAAATATTACCACAAGCACATGATGTACTGTACAGAGTACAACAACATAGCTTTTAAAGAAAATAAAAAGTGGAAAGCGGAGATTAACCACTGCCTGTGTACAAAACCGAAATCCATTTATTATGTAGCCTCGAATCACAGAATATTTGCACATCACATGGCCCCAACCCAGATTTTTATCTGGATCTGCATCTGATCAAACAAATCATGTTTTTTTCCTGATTGTTGGAAGTTGAACAAAACTCTAATTCACTAATGATCAAATTTTTTTGGGTTTGGCAGACTATATGATATATGCCCAGCTTAATTTTTTTACAATAGAATAAACTGACGTTAACCTACCGATGCAATAGCTTGATGTTACCATCGATGAATGCAGCCGCAATGACCATTCCAGGCCCATTGTACATGGATGTCTTGGACAGATTCAGAGGAAGCTTTGGAACAGCTAGTGCAGTTATGGTAGCGTTTTCAGAATGTGATGTCATAAAAACCCATTTCTAATATTAACAATAAACAACAATGTCAGCATTAGAATGTAAAATATAGTACTACTGTACTGTATTATTAAGTTTAACTTTCAATATCAGTTTTTACATACATTATGGTATAAAGTATTGAAGAAATTATATTAAAAAAAACAAGATAGTACATTAAGTCGGCTAAACTGGTTGTAGCCACAGTGTGTGCCTCTAGGTCCCCAGTTCAATTCCCATCGCTGCTGTCCTTGCGTTTCAGCTGGAGGCCTGAAATGCATGTTACAGTAGTGCACCGTCTTTTGGATGAGACATTTAAGCCGTTGGTCCCGTGTGCATTATGGCCCATGTGCACGTTAAAGAACGCAGTACACTCTTCGGAAAAGAGTTGGGGATTGCCTCCTGGTGTACAATCAATTCACCACCAGGAGGACCCCACTGGAAACAAGTCTTTGGACTTTAGCGGGTTATCCATGGTGTGATTTACACCGAAATACTCCTACCTATCCTACCTACCTACCAGGGTCACAGGCTGTTGGTCAACTGGTTTTTGGTTGTCAAATATGTTGTGTAGAGGAACTGGTTCCTTGCTCAGACTCCAACATTCTATATAAGTTCCTCCAGAACCTAAACATGAGGCAACAATACAATAGGTAACATGCATTACTAAAATTACATACTGTCTCTGCCTGTTTTCATTTTAACACATTCACTGCAAATGAATGAGAATACTCATCTTACTGGGTGTTGCAGATCAAGCCTTACTATTAGGGAGCTTTCAATTTGCGTGACAACGCGACGCTGGAACGGAATTACTCATTATTACTCCTAACTGGTGTCCTACGTTCTCTGCATACGTAGATTTGATTAAATTGCATCCTAGAATCCATGCTACGAGAACTTAAAGTTCTTGCATGCGCAGATGACTTTTATTGACGACATTACGTTCTATGTCCTACCGTCGCTGTGTAATAGGAAGCTCCTTATTATGCCAAATTCTCTCACCTTCGCTCTTTTTTAAGTGGCATTTCATTCAATGACATACAATAAACTTGAGATACAAATTGTGTATGAATAAGTATAGAAGTCTTACCTGTTACTGTCACCAGAAGTTTATCACCTGCTTCTCTATTCATAAACTGGATATGGGAGATAGTATTATCTAAAAAAAAAAAAAAATGTGTGTACATAAAACAAATAAAATGGATTTGATTAAAAGGAGAAACGTAGATTGGTGGTTAACTTCTAAGTACAAGAGTCTTAGTGTTAAATCCTGCAAACTACATATTATTTTCTCATTTCACTTCTAAGCCACATAATGACTTTGTTTATGCATCAGACTATAACTGCATCAAGTACATGGCAACTCCTTGTTGGCAAACACAATGTAAAGCTCATTTACATATACACATACTGAAGCATGATAAATGTATAAATGTATTGACGTTCATCGTGTTTTAGGTGCATAAATGGCAGTCTGATTTTCAGTCCTAAGTTCAGTGTTGATTTGTGATAAGATTAAAATCAATATACTTACATCTGTCTCGAGTGTAACTGCTTGTACAGCACTGTGGGTAAAATGACGGCAGTGAGTCTGTCTGAATATTTAAACGATCTGACATGCTTTATTAAGGGATACAAAAACAGAAAACACAGCTTAGGCCACTCACAATTAATACGAAAAATATATAATAACCAAGAAACTCTTGCCTAGTTTTGAAACAAGAAAAACTTTTCACAGGACCAATGCAAAGCTCTAGCACACTATCAAGTTTTCTGTCTTAAATATATGTGATGTGCCCATATATGGGCATGATGATGATATATCACCCTCATATATGGGAAAATCACAGGTATTTATCACATAAAGCTTGATAAGTGTAAACAAGGCTTAAAGGTGTAAAAAAGATACTACTACTACACTCAAACATCTCTTTTATTACCCCATTCCACGAACGTATGGAAGATTTTAATACAGGTCTCCTTCCAATTAATTACCAATTTTGGGACCGGTATTTCCATCTTTGGCAGCTTTGGTCTCTAATTAGAGTAATAAAGATAAAAGACATTTGTGAATTTGGGACCACAGAAAAGGAGAATGTGGTCTTTAATCGGAGGGGTCTTTAATTAGAGGGAGACGACCTGTATATGGAAAAGAAAAAAATTATAGAGGAAGGGTAATGGGGTAACACCAAGTATGATAAGGTCAAACTGAAAGGATACCATCTGTCTTGGTAACATTGACACTGTATGCTTGTATTGGGGGTCGGCAGGTCCCGTCAGACGTTGCAATGATCATAGGACCACCTAAAATAATGCAAAAATCACCAAGATTCAAATTATTATGTAAAATAAAATAAGGTAGCAATTTTTAGCCATTTAGCGATATATTATGAAATCCAGTACATATTCCAATCACATATTGAAAATAAACATTTATTTTATACAATCATTCGAAAGTTTCTTTAACTAGAATATATTAAGGTGTTAAACAATTTTTCAAATACATACCAAATGCAATATCTGCAACAGCTACATGGCTTCTATGGATACCAAGGCATTTATTTTCTGTAATTAATTTGCCACCCTCCATCACAGTAATGGACACCTGTAACATAAATATATGCAAATAAGCCTGGTTTTCACGAGAGCCCTAGTATCCGGATCGGGAGCTAACCGTTAGTGCTAACCGTTAGCACCTGTGTGAGAACACCCGATCGGTTAGCGCTAGTAGTATCCAGATACGCTAACGGTTAGCAAGCTGAGCGCGTTTTTACCATCAACCAATCACACGTACGTATTTACAATTTCCAGTTTCTTATTGGCCAGTGATTCGATCATCATATTTTTGGTATCCGGATCGGGATTTTCTCATATGGACGCACGGCAGCTAACGGTTAGCAGGATCCAGATCCTGCTAACCGTTAGCAGCCGTGTGAGAACATAGCCTCTATCAGTATCCAAAAATAGGTGTATACTGACACCTGCAAGACAGTATGCTAATAGACAGTAACTAACATACTGACACATGTAAGATAATATATGTGCATTACTATGCACACAAAAAATAATGACATATACAGAATAATGCTGACCTAATATAGGTCGATTTTTTTGTGTTAATTTTACCCTTTCCTTAAAGAGGGATAGACCTGGGCAGCAGTCAAAAAATTTCTGATGTTTCAGGATTTGAACCAAAGACCCTAGGATTTAAATGTATGCATAACAACATTGTAAAATCTGCTTACCAGACCAGTTGCTGTGACAGCCACCCATCCTTCTACCGGCTTTCCACCGACATTCTTAACAGACGGTTCGCAGGTGACTCGGGAAAACTTCTCATGAATATTAATGGAGTCTAACTTGTCTACATTGTACAGTAACTGTAACATTCAAAATTATTGTGAAGGGAGTGAATTAATGAAATAAATTATGTTAATCAATGTAATTTAAAATACAATTTTTGTTCTTTATAGACATTATCAACTTCAATAATTATTTACATTTGGAAATTTAGCAATCATTAATTGACACTAAGTGTTATTTTTATATCTGTGAATAAAGAGTGAGTGAGTCAAGTAGATTTTTAACAAAATTACATACTTTGATCGGGCCATGTAGCCAATCGGCTGCTACAATAGGTTCTTTGTTGATGTTGGTCTTTGTTGATTGTATCCAGCTATTGAGAAGGTATTGATTCATCTCCCAACAGCAGCACGTTCCTCTGCTATCCGTGGATAGTAGCTGGGTTCCAGAGGCATTCCATTTCAAGGATGTAATCATCTCCTCATGCCCAGAGTCGATACTATTTATTATAAAAATAAAAAAAAATCATGGTGTATAAATTTGACAGAGTAAGCAGCTTTTCCCACTTGTACCATATATAAATAAATTTCATCCTCCCTTCACCTCCCCCAACCAGGAGTTTACTCCAGGAGCCTGAGCAGAGTCCCTACATGGGTCCACTGGTTCAAACCCCCATGCGGACATGTTGGACACCCTGTTGGACAATTTTTGGAGTTTGTTGAGACTAGAGATGTGTGAGGCAGTACCAAACAAAATGGATAGCACATAACATGTGTGTATGGAATGCAGCACAGGTCATTTTGGCTCAATGGGTATTACATACATTAAAATGTTAATCATTCAATTGTTGACAAACCTGTATATTTCCCATGGTCTATCTGGGTCTAGAATGTGTATACAGGTGTTGGTAACCTCTCTGTGTTCAACTGGTTCCTTACGATTTCCAACGGCTGTGAATGCTAAGATGTTTCGGCATGACCAGTCACTCAAGCCATTCCCCAGCAGTTTCTTGACCCTGAAATGTTTGTAAAATTACCAAATATATCTTGTCTTAAGCCACTGAAGTTTTATTTACAAAGAAAACCATGTAAAAACATGCATTATTTCTTATAGTCCAAAATATATTATTATCGTGGACCCAAATAATGCTTTATCATAGTTTTGTGTCCCCTATTGTTTTTGTATCTGCATAGATCGCTGCATCTGCATTTGTGTATTTTGCAATTGTCATAGCAGGTGGCTTGTTGTTTATAATGCATTTGCAGCGGCCGTAGCGTCAGAAGTTATTTGATTTTCATTGAAGAAAGATGTAGTTGTTTTAATTCTTAAGTGTGTATTAATGGTTGCTCGCATATCTTGTTTGTGTTAATATTCCGTTATAAGAGGAAGATAAGCATTTTGTTGTAGTTTTCGTGATTCGATTCAAGTTTTTTTTGTTTTGTTAATATATTTAAAAGTAACCTGCAGTAACGGAACAATGAAATAAATAAAAAGTTTGTGGCAACTGACACCATAGTTTTTCTTCTGTTCTCATCCACGCTCACATCTGGGGGTTGAAGCTAACCTAATCAATTCCAGATTACTCACACCACGACATTATCATATCATACTACAACTACACATTAATAATTTACATGCAATAAGAGAAAGAAAACTCAATTACACTTAAAGAGAGAAATAGATTAGGCTCATTGTGAGAAAAGTAGACAGAAAACTGGATCAGAATATCATCAAAAATTGGCCAAAAGTTTAAGTATTAGACTCTAGGAATGTGTGAATATATCACTTAGGCCTCCATGCTTGTATCACTTTCTTGTTCATAACGTATAATCAATCAGCTAACACTTTCTTTATTCATCAAAAAATTTGTTTTCTTAATGGACCTCCAAGATAGTCCAGGGAGTAATAAAGCAATAGGAGGCCCATTGAAACTAATACCCCATTCAGACTAGCATCGCATTGCGATTGGTTGTAGCAATTGCGACACCCAATTGCAAAGTAAAATCGTGTGTGAAAGCTCACCAATAGTAGTCGATATGTAATCAATATTGCAATTGTTACCCGTTGCGATTGGGTGCTACAATCTTTATTACTCCCGATTACCACGGAATCTGATCGCAACGAATTCCTCAGGCACTGTTTGGCTGAGGTCAGGCAACATAGGCCTAGACACCGGAGGCCTAGGCCTTAGAATGTAAAGTTTGTTTATGTTGGTCTGAATGCGTTCGTTGATTGCGATCGGGAGTAATCAGTTTTGGATTACCACCGATTACATCGCAACCAATCGCATGAGAGTGTAGTCTGAATTGGGAATAACTCAACAAATGTATCAAACAGCATTATCAATTGTTTGTACTAGGCCTATGTGGCCTAGCCTAGGCCTTGATACAGCAGGTTGAGGGCTAGGCCTAATTAATTATCTGTATGATCATCATCATAATTTAGAAATAATGATTTTGTTAATATTAATAATATTTATATCATTACTATATTTAGTTTGACGGTATACAAAATGTTATTCAAGATATGGCTCTGGGAATCTAAACCAATACGTCTTATCATATGCCACCTAGGCTAGGCCTACTAGGTCAGATGATCGATTTCCTCCCTCCTTATCTGGGCTAAGGATGAAATGAATTCTTTCCCTGGATTGATGCTCCAAAAATTGGGTATATGCTTGTCCAAGGTAGCCTAGCTTTCATGTACGAAATATGACTGTAGATGTTCAGATAATTACATTTGAGTACTTCTAAATGCACAATAATAGTCTACAATAATCAAATTACCATGTGTTTGTATCTAATTTTGGCCAATCAGTGACGAAAACCAGCTCCATCTTGTGCGCATCAACAAAAATAACAAAACAAAATACACCGGCGGGGCGGCGTGCGTTGATCCCTCTATCTATTCTATTCTTTGGTTCAATTTTTATTGGCACATGGAATCTACCAATCAGCTTCCACAGTCAGCAGAGGAGGGCGGAAAAAATAAAAATAAAATTCGGTTTTCTTATTTAGCAAATAGTTTTTGCTTCCGATTCCCAGTTACGCCGTTTATTGATGAAATATATTTTTAAATTCAACAGGTTTTTTGTTAAATGTTTTGGGTATCCATGTAATATTTTGTCTCCTAAAAATAGATTTCTTTTATTTGATATGTATAGATAGATGTGGTTTTAGTTCTGACTTCATTTATTTGGTGTTTTTACATGTTTTACAGAATGGCGGTATCGATATTGTTTATAGCACTGGTATTTTAAAAAATCTTACTTTACGTCACATTTCCACAATATTGATATTTTTAACTATATATTTTTTATATTGTAAGGCCTCATTTGTGGCGATATATCCTGTTGGTGTGGTTATAAATAAAATAAAAATAAATAAAAAATATACCTCAATGGTTTTGCCAAAGACATCCAGACAAAGAAGAAAATAATAATTAAAAAAAAATAGAAATAAAAATAAATACAAAATTTTATTAGTCAATGTAAACAGAGTAGTAGTAGTAGTAGTAGTAGTAGTAGTAGTAGTGGTAGTGGTAGTGGTAGTGGTAGTGGTGGTGGTGGTGGTGGTGGTAGTGGTAGTGGTAGTGGTACTGGTAGTGGTACTGGTAGTGGTAGTGGTAGTGGTAGTGGTAGTGGTAGTAGTAGTAGTAGTAGTAGTAGTAGTAGTAGTAGTAGTAGTAGTAGTAGTAGTAGTAGTAGTAGTAGTACGTGTAAATTCAAATACATGGATCATTTTTACTGCACCAATTTTCTTAAAAATTGACTCATTTTTACGCAAAATATGAGGAATCTCGACACAATGTAAACAGTGTAGTCAATACTGTAGTCAGGATTTTCAAATTGCCTGTGGTACACAATATCAGGGTGGACCCACTTTACGCGTAAATTCAAATAATGTTGCCAACATTTTTGTGGACATTATACAGTGGACCATTAGAAAAAGTGTGTAGTAGGCCTACTGTCTCGACTGTCCCAAGCTGGCTACGGCATTGAGTGTGGTATATACCGTACTCGCGCGAATAAGCGGGCGCTTATTCAAACGGGGCGCTTATGAAAACAGAGTGGAAAACAGAGGGGGCGCTTATAGAAATAGATGAAAATCAAGGGGTTCTTATGGGATATTATTTTAATAATTAAAAATTCAAGAGGCACTTTTTGAATGAAAAAAAAAAGATTATATATGGACATTACGAATGGTGGTTAGAAAAGATAATCGTCCAGAGAACATGGCTCATAACAAGAATGCGTGAATATTTACATAACAGCAAAAT